AACTTCGCTAGCAACTATCCATCCATGTGGGTCACGCCATCCACGAATCACAAGCAAATGCTCACCTATGTCCAAGTGAGCCCTGCCCGAACACTTTCAGGGAGCTTTATCAAATCACCAAACTTTGTCAATCAACCGTTTGAGAGCTATGCTTAAGGGGATAACAGCTCACCAACTATTTTCTATTTTAATGGCCATTTAAGCAACAATTAAGGGTCATTATCTCTCTCTCTCTCTCTCTCTCTCTCTCTCTCTCTCTCTCTCTTAGCCTATAAGAGGAAGATGAGATTGTTCATTCGACACACACAAAGAGAACAGAAAGACCGAACAACCCATACATGCGTGGTTTTTCTCTATTCGGTTCTAAGAGAAGATTGAGCTATCTTCCAAGCAACCAAATCAAAGACTAATAGTAAAATACTCATCATCTTAATCGGACCATCAACGGAGTATAAGATCGACACTCCGTCGGCACATAGAAAAAACCCCAGGAAATATAATTTTTTTTATTTCATTTTATTCTTTTTGTTGTAATCTGAGATAATTACAATACAAAAGACTCGAAATAGAATGACAAATTTACTGGGGGCAACTTTCACCTCCAATAAGAAAATTATGTCGCAGTCTGATACTAAGACACTCGGGTCTTTTTTTTGAGTTGCTGGTCATAGAATTTGATCAAGCAAAGTTCAGAAAATTCATTTCATCGAACCAATCATCAACGTACATGTGAGAAGCTACCGCAAAATTCACCGCAATGTGAACTTATGGTCTAAGTTGACCCCCGCTTGTGTAAAGGCGACCTTTACCGAAGATGGTTTGAGCTTCTCTGGAAGCCAAACGAACTTCACCCAGAGCGAATAAACATTGACCCTTATCACGAGCGAAGGTCAAGACGGTCTCACATCTTTTGATTTTGGATAGCATTCCACAACTCCTTTGGGGGTTTGATTTAAAGCATCTCGCGATTGACTTGAAACAACTTATAAGAATTGACGACCTAGCTAATAACAAATTAAACAGATTAAGTGACTAATTTTAAGACAGTGTTCAATAATTTGGGGATCTATTAGCAAGTTCACTAATTTCAAAATGTTAAAGATTTGAGGAACTAATAACATAAAACTATTATTTTGTAATGATTTAAAACGCACAAAGAAATCAAAAAAGGAAAAGTTACATCTGTGCATCTTTAACTATTAAAACTGACATAAAAGTTTTGGCATCTAGCTCATTGACAATTATTAAGCATATTATACTATTCTATTTGAGGGAGATTTTAAATTGATCAGTTTTCTTAACTTGTTGTGATAGTTGAATTGGGTTATATTGGAGTCTTTGTCCTGTCAAATTTATGAAAATAAATTTTTAAAGGGAAAAAATGCTTCTAACTCCTAGAAATTAAAATCTACGTCTAGCACCGACCCGATCGACCACCGATCTGTCTGTTTGTTTTTCTGCCCCTTTTTTATTTCAGTTTTCGTCTCGAACTTTGGGTCTACACCTTAGACTACCCCCCCTAAATAAGCTGGATAATCCTGGACTCATGCACGGCGTTAACCGCGATTTCAGTGGTACAAGTATCACCCTACGTAATTTTAACCGCCCACGTCAAATTTTCAAATGTGGTGAAGTTGAAAGGTAGTTTTATGAAGACCTCTAAACTTAAGGGGCCTTAGCGGTTTTTTTTTAATCCGGCCCATCGTTCAAAGTTGGGGTGCGCGTGGGAGCGGGCGTCGGCTCCTGTTTCAGCCTAAATAGTGAACTGAGTTTGGTCTTTGCAGCCAATAATACGACAAAATTGAAAGTGAACAACGTCATAGATCGTCCTGTCTTCTTCAAGGCGTCAATTAAGAGTATTTTTTTCGGTTTTTTTATAGAGTGTCCATTTCTACTCTATAAGAAAGTAGAGAGAGATAGAGAGAAATGAATGAAGAGGATAACCCTTAATTTGCATTGGGATTCTCTCCTCATTTATTTCTCTCTATCTTTCTCCTCTCTTATAGAGTGCCCGTGAGCACTAGAAAAACCGTTTTTTCTTTATTTATTTAAGCACTACTAATCTGAAAGTATCGAGATTTGCGTTTGTTAAGTGTATGATATATATATTTAATATTTTACCAGTGCTAGCCTGCAAATCTTCGCTGTAAAGCCTGCTAGGCACGAGGAAGCACATGGCTGATGTTACGTTCGAAAATCGTAATCAACAGTGCAAAACAATCAAATAAATAAAAGAAGTACAAATTTTCGAAACAGACCCTTTTGAATTTTTATTTGCAAAAAACGATCTATTTTAAAAAAATTTATAAAAACCAACCTGTTTTCAGCCCAGCGCTGAAAACAGGTCGGTTTTTGTTAAATTTTTTCCGAAACTTCACGGGAGTTCAACTCCCGTGAAGTTTAATATATTTTTAAACTTCACGGTAGTTGAACTCCCGTGAAGTTTAATTTATACATAAATCTTCACGGGAGTTCAACTCCCGTGAAGATTTATGCCCAGATGCAGCGCCAGGCTGCTCTCTGGAAGTTGGGACTGCAACTTCACAGGAGTTCAGAGTTGAACTCCTGTGAAGTTGCAGTCCCAACTTTCCGAGAGCAGCTCTGGCGATTTTTGCTCTCGGGAAGTTGAGACTGCAACTTCACGGGAGTTCAACTCCCGTGAAGTTGCAGGTTATACTTAACATGCACAGAATGATGTGCATGTTTTGTATATATACCTGTTAACTCATATATACACCAATTTATTTGCAAACAATCACAACAATATATACATGATTTAACCATGAATTAAACATGCACGATTATATATATGAACAATAATTGATCTTCAAAAGTTTAGTATTTGAAATTCAGGAAAGTTACAAATTTTAACAAAATAAGTTCAAATACAACCCAATATAGTCGTGCATGTTTAATTATTTTGGACTTATTTTGTTAAAATTTGTAACTTTCCTGATTTTTCAAATACTAAACTTTTGAAGATCAATTATTGTTCATATATATAATCGTGCATGTTTAATTCATGGTTGAATCATGTATATATTGTTGTGATTGTTTGTAAATAAATTGGTGTATATATGAGTTAACAGGTATGTATACAAAACATGCACAGCATTCTGTGCATGTTAAGTATAACCTGCAACTTCACGGGAGTTGAACTCCCGTGAAGTTGCAGTCTCAACTTCCCGAGAGCAAAAATCGCCAGAGCTGCTCTCGGGAAGTTGGGACTGCAACTTCACGGGAGTTCAACTCTGGTGAAGTTTAAAAATACATTAAACTTCACGGGAGTTGAACTCCCGTGAAGTTTCGGAAAAATTTTAACAAAAACCGATCTGTTTTCAGCGCTGGGCTGAAAACATGTCGGTGTTTGTAATTTTTTTCAAAATAGGTCGTTTTTTGCAAATAAAAACCCAAAAAGGTCTGTTTTGAAAATTTGTCCAATAAAAGAATCATAAAACAAAGCAACCATTCCTTTAAATTTAAAAAAAAAAGAGGAAAAATGAACCCAAAACAATCAAATAAATTAACGAGCAAAACAGATAAATTCGCTATATTGGTCTTGAGTACGTATTACACAGACGAGATCAACGATTTCCAAAACTCATTTCCTCATCTTGGATTCTCACCGTTAAGATACTTTCTCTCACGGTTCTTTTATTATTACTTTTCCAGTTTTCCCCCTCTTAATTTGATAGCAAAAGCCATAATCTATTGCGTTTTCACATACAAAGTTACCCAATAAACCCCACAACCCAAATCCTGGTCTAAAAGGACTTTAAATCTCGAAACAAAGGACAAGACTTGACCGAATCCATTTCAGTGCCGGTCGTCCAAAAGGCATAAGAAAAATGATAGGGGCACACCCCCAACCACAACTCCAACCACACCCCCTCTCATTTGCTATAGTGCACCGGGCTTCACATGAGATTTTAAATTTTTAAAATCTCATGTGCGGCCCGGTGCACTGTAGCAAATGAAAGAGGGGGTGTGGTTGGAGTTGTGGTTAGGGGTGTGTCCCTAGTGCCACCCAAGGCGGAAACTGATTTTCGGCTTGATGCTCGAGGGTCCGGACATGGTCCAACCGAGTCTAGTCGTATTAAACCAAGTTCGATTGAACACTGTTCCAATGGTGTTAGAGTTTGCGGCGGATCCATGAGAGTGTCCGCCCGAGCCCACTTTGAACCCTCTCGAGCTTGCTGATGGAGGATTTTGCGCAACTTCACTAGCTGACATCGTCCAAACCAGACTCAAAGAAAACTTACAAAGCAAGAACATCAAAGAATCATAGAAAAATAAATGGCAATCACAAACCTGAGAAATCTATTGAATAGTTTGGATATACAATTTTGGTGATTTTAATCACGGATTCTACTTTTCTAATGGATTTGAGAAATCTATTGAATTATTTATTTAACTAAATAGTAATGTTTCTGTAAAATGCTAATATGTTTAATTAAAACATTAGTACAACCCTTTTCTTGAGCGAATAGCAAGAGTTTAATAAAACAACCAAAAAAGTATACTTGGAAATAGAATCATAAATAAGAGTATCTACAACCACATAAAGACAGTTCAGCCAAATTGGTCTGTATTCATTGAAAAGAAGTTAATGAAACCTTCTTGATTTTTAGGTTCTTTTATTATTTTACCTGGGATACATTCACAAAACCCCAAGAAGGTTGGCTCATTTTAACAAGCACCAAAATGTTAGGAAATGTCGCGTATTAACACTCTGAACTTTTCAGATAATCACAAATGTTGGGGATTATTTGACAACAGATTCACAATAATGTGAAAGTTTCGGAGGTTTTAGTAATATTTTTGAAACTATTTCAGGGTCATCTCATAATAGCCAAATTTAGGGGGTTTTTTGTGAAATTCATCCTTTTATTTATTGACATATTTAAAAGACAGCAACTTATGTGTCTTTTTATGCGTGCATCTGTGTGCATGTTACTCAAAAGAGGGGAAAAAAATAACGTAGCAAAACGAACCATGGAAAAGCAAATTCTCACGACTAACAAACCGAATAAACATCTCAAAAGAGGGAAACCAAAATTAAAAAGAACTACAAGCACAGGCCAAACACTCTTCTGAAAATTTTGAACTCTCTCTCTCTCAGTCCTTTATCATCTCAGTGATAAGCGACAACTGACACCTTGGCTTGTGATCCTCCCTGCACATAAATAAAACTGAAGCGCATTCCAGGCTTCACCACTTTGATCCATTTAGGAAGCTCGTACTCGTTCTCCTCTGATGTTGGTGAGAGCCCCCATAGAGGTCCTGAGAGGTTCTCTATAGAAAACTTAACTTCAGTTATCGGCTTTCCGCATTTGTTGATGACGGTGACCTTGTGCCTGTAGTAGTCCTCTCCTTTGTGTCTCCATGCGTGCGTGATGGAGTGAAAGAACTCAACAGCGTTCTCTGCATTTGGACGAGACGGTAAATTAATTTGAAAGTTCAGAATCAAGTTTCAGCCCGCAAGATGTCATATTTAGTAATAACGTACGTACTTACCAGTTTCTACAGGAGGTGTTGGCTTTGTATTATCAGGAAGATAACCTGCACATTTAGCAATTGTTACTTCAATGTTTTGAAGGTAGATTTTGATTTTCATTTATTTTCTGTGATTTTAGTTTGGCAAATATACCTGAATCTGCCGACAAACTGTTCAATTTTGCGAAAAGGCCTATAAGAGGAGCATTTCCTACAAGAGAAGGCTCGGTTTGCTCGTAGCTCGATCGCTGGTCATGGAACTGGTCTTTCATGTCAGGACCTCCGACGAGGGCGCCCGTAAGGACATTGGGGTTTCCTTGTTTGTTATCGAACCTGTCAAGAGTTGGAATAGATTTCTCATCTTATAGATTTGCAAAATGAAAGAAATAAAGAGAATAATGTTCCGATTAGAGTTATATGAAAGGAAAGTTAAGCATGACCCTGTAAACTTAAGTGGACCGAGGGCTCCATCCACCAGGATTTTCATCCCTGGGGTTTGGTTTGAGATGCATGTTGATGCGTGCTACTCATCAAGATTGCTTTAGAGATGCGTACCTTGATGTGTATCACACATCAGCACATATCTTAAAGCAAATCCAATGGATTAAAAAGTAAGTGGACAAGAGCACTAAAATATCTAGAAGCTTTGGCATACCATTTTTGAAACCCTTCGATACATCCAACAGGAGAAGAAAGAACAGATTTCGATGCGATGGAAGCGCCTCGATGATGAACGTGAGACGGGTAGTTCTTTTGGTATCCAACCAAGTAACTCATAGATTTCGGATTTTCACCAAGCATGTATTCAGCCTGAGGATATTTCAATAAACTATAAGTTTTGGTCATGAAATCAAATTCTAATGCAAATTCAGTTCAGAAATTTTACTTGTGATTGTGCAAGCTTTAGAAGATCTATAGCTTGAACTTGTCCATCAGGGCAGTTAAGCTTCGCACCCTCCATCAATAAATAGTCTGAGTATACTGCCATAAGAAACGAAGCAGATGAAACATATTGCATGTTGTTCCACTCATTGAAGTAGAGTAAGCCACCTGAGAACAAACCAGAATAATATTAGATTCTAATAAACAGTGCCAGTTTAGGTTCGCATTAAAAAAAATTCAAACCTGGGGTCATTGCAACATTGTAGCCATTGTTCTTTTGTAAACATGCACATAAGAAGAACTCAGCTTTTGCTTGATACTGCTTCAGTGCAGCATTGTTTGCATTACTTTCATCTTCCATTAACACCTGTAGAACAAAAATTACCGATAACGATTTGATTACAAAAATTAGGGTAAACATCATTAAATCCCAGGGGTTTTGGCAAAAAGCCCCCAATCAAAAATATACTAAAACCCTTCTGTAGTACTGAAAATTTTCATAAACGATGTCAATAAGCAAAATAAAAAAAAATTTAAACTACCATTTTTTACATTTTGCCTATCCTTACTGAAAAGGTTAATGTATTAAAATTGAGCAGAAGATAAACTTGTCAGCTGTCACAGGCATGGTACTTAAGTAAGACCAGTTCTGGGGTTCTGTGCGAAGCACCCTAAAGTTTAGAGGGGTTTTATGAAATTTATGCGCAAAATTAGTGTTTACCTTAGTCAGAAGAACTTGCAACCCAGCATATTTGTTATCCCAAGAGAATTCTCTTACAGCCCATCCAGTACCCCCTAAAGCAGCTGAATTATCGACGACATATTTCAGGTAGTATTTATCGTCTGTCGCCTCAAAAAGCCAAGCAGCAGCCCACAAAAGCTCATCCTTCATCATCAGAGATCATAAGATTCAGAAATACAGTAATAAATCTAATTTCAAAGAAGAAAGAAGTCGGTGAAAATTCTTGTTTCTTCTTCTTACATAGTATCCAGTAGAAGAAGGGTAATACTCGCGAACAGAAGGGATGGAGTTATCATATCGACCACGAAACGTGTCAGAAAATGAGAACAGCTGCAAGATTCAACAGATTTTGAATTTTGGTTACTTGACGCTCTGCGTATATAATATACAAAGGTAGATTTCAGAAATCTACTATGACCTTTACACACAATATTTTTCGGATGATTTTGTCCTTGTACACTTTATATACGCCTATATTGCACTCTCTTCATATCATAGTTTAAGAGTAGTGACGTTAACACCTTTAGTAAAAATTTTCATGACTTCATGTTATTTTTCTGCAGTTTTAAATTTTCATTTATAGTTTTCTGAAAAATAATGTTTATGGTAGTTTAAATTTGCACAAACCCCCCAAAGTCCGTGATAGTTTTGTCAAATTTCAACTTCAGTTGGCATTTGTTATTTTACCTGCTTCGAGTGCCACAAGAGGAGAGTGGAGTAAGTGGAGTTGTAGGGCCTGAATGCTAAAGAAGCTGCAGCCATTGCTGCTGCAGTCTCGGCTGCAACCTCCGATCCTGGATGCTCAGTATCAATTTTATACGCATTTCTTGGTGTTGTCATGTCCTCTGCTCTTTGCCAGCATAAATGGTCGCTGTCTCCATCTCCAACCTTCAAAGAGAAGAGTTGCATCAAGAAGTAAATTAATCGGTAAGAGATCGAAGTGTTATGTTCTTTTTGCTTTTCAGCTCTCTTAAAATCCCTTTCACTCCATCAGAACTCTAAAATTATGACAAGTCGTCATGATTTTGTATCCCTGACATGACTTTGCAGATTGAGCATCATTTTTATGGATTTGGCTTACTTTACGAAGTAGTAATCTTTTAAAAACTTTAAATGTGCATACTATTGATATTTGTATGCAGATCACTACATATACCACGTCAGACTCTCTTCCACTATATCAAGACTCTGGAATTATGGTGAGACTTGAGGGTCGTAATTTTATATGCTAAGACATGCTTTAGTAGGTTGACTGACTTTTTCTATGGGCCGAAACATGGACTTGCTCTTTAAACTTCGTTTATAGATGTACGAAATTTGAATCTAGATTGCTCAGATATTGTCTCGAAGATTCTTGCACTACGCCACAATTTTGAAGTTATGATTAAGACTCACGAGTTATAATTTTGTATCGTAACATGTTTACCTGACACCATAAGGTATTGGGTTGCCTATGCGCTTTGATGAAGTAATCAGTTCCCCATCGAATTGCATCCAATGCATACTCGAGTTGGTTGGCTGCAGCAATCTCTTTCTCAAACTCGATCACGCTCCACGATAACATCGTCATGGCGAATGCCATTGGGAGTCCGAACTTGACATGATCGCCAGAGTCGTAGTATCCTCCGACCAAGTCCACCTAAACACATTTTCACGAGCTCTCATTATATTTTCACCAAAGGGAAAAGGTTCTTCTTGGTTCGCTACAGCTGTCCAGACAACAGCTGAAATTGCATGCAACTGAGATATTTAGAGCAGTTGTTCAATACAACTAATAAATACCGGTTCCAGCTGCAGCTGATGACTTAACACAGCTCTGATCAACTTAAGCTGCGGTCCCAACATCTTTGAATTGTAAATGCTATCTATGTTATTAACTTCTATTAACAAACACCATGTGTAACTTCAACTGCAACCACACGAGTTGAAAATTTTTAAAACCGAAGCAAATAACTGCAATTATATATTAACTGTACGCAACACCAGCTTACAGCAATTGCACTTGCACGATGTTAAATAAGACCAAGAAAAAGTACCCCTTGGTGAAATCCATCTCTGAGGCCAGAATCGCCACGCCACTTCACTCGCTGATCATGAGGGAGCTTGCCGGACCTCTGGGCCTCAAAGAAGAGGAGGCTCTTGTCGAGGGCATCTCTGTAGTCGAACTTCGCCGCTGAGGCTGCGACAGCCACCAACAAGAATGCTAGGATGAACAGCACAGCAAGTTTAGCCATTGGGATTCCTTGGAGTACTGGATTTGGATTGGAGAGAGACGGTGGCTTGTTGGGGTTTTTATGAAGGGATAGAGGAGGCAAAGGTCTTTGGTTTGGTGAGAATGGTGATGTGCACGTTTTAGGAGGGAGATTAGAGCCATGCACGTTGCGACTAAAGTTTTTTTTTTTTAAAGGTCAATATGATTTCATCATTTGTTCATCGACCTAGTTGTTTATACGAATTATGTTTAATTAGGGGCAACTAATCACCTCAGTATTTGTTATTTAATGTAATTTTTGGCTATAAGACGATGTATGGAATTGAATGCAAATTCTATAACAGATCTAGTGTATCTTTACCTACAAATAATGAATAGCTTTAAGAATTTTTTTCCCCCCTTTTTCTTTGATGTAGTTAACGTAGAGAAAATGATGCATGATATATAAGGGAAAAGACAGAGACTAGAACGGCTGCACTTGTATTCCTGCAACCAAAGACCAGTACCACATACATTTTGATGTAATTAACATAGAGACAATGATGCAGAAAAAAAAAATTCAACCTAGCACCAGTTGTTTCAGTGGTATAGTAACATTTCAGTGTGTAGTAACAAATTCCACACAAGTTCTGACTTGAGCATCCGAGGATATAGATCGGTATCAGCAAAAAAGATAAAACTCAATGAATTAGATGAATCGCTTTCATCATTGAAATTTTTGAGGGAAGGAAAAATATAGTTAAAATTTAATGAGCAAAAGGTAATTGGAAATCTCTAATAATATATTATCCAAATATTGTTTGGGTCATTAATGTTTGAAAGTCTTCCGTAGAGGTCCACAATGTTACCTTCATCACCATTCTAGGTTCTTTTTGCAAGGAAAATGCTAGAGGCACACCCCCTAACCACACCTCCAACCACACTCCTCTCTCGCTACAGTGCACTGGGACCCACATGAGAATTTTTTTTATAAAATTATCATGTGGGCCCTAATGCACTGTAACAAGAGAGGAGTGTGGTTAGGGATGTGGTTGGGGGTGTGACTGTAGCGCCTCCCTTTTTGCAAACTTCCAATACATCTTTCTGTGATGTGGCCCATGTCAGCAAAAAGATAGTGAAAAACCAAGTTTGTCCAGCCACATCATTGACACATCAGCATAAAATTAGTCAAGTTACAAGTTTACCCCCACAATATAATTAACAGAGTGCTGCTACGGGGACCCAAAATATGGGACCAAGGGAGGGGACAAGTGAGGTGTCCCCTCCCTATTGCATAACGAGTTGGCATGAGTTGGCATAGCCAACTCATTATGCAATAGGGAGGGGACACCTCACCTATCCCCTCCCTTGGTCCCATATTTTGGGTCCTTAAATCATTTTCCAAATAATATGAGTGCTGCTACGGGGACCCAAAATATGGCCGCTGAACTTTGGCCAAATTAATTCCATCAGAACCTAAATATATGAACCAGTGCATGCATGCAAGAACTTTCCACGCTTCTTTGCCAAATTAATTCCATAAGAACTTTGGCCAAATTAATTCCATCAGAACCTAAATATATGAACAAGTGCATGCAAGAACTTTCCACGCTTCTTTGCCTTGATGACTCTAAATATGAACCCAAACAAGGTTCAATCAACAAAAATGAAACTGAGGACGCCCGGTCAACATAAACTGCAATTTGTAAGTTGAGTTACAAGTAAATACCATCATCACCTTTCCTTAAAAGAACCCAAAAAAAAAAATCTCTGTCTGTAAACAAATTCCACCACATTCCAGATGTACATAAGTTGCAAGGGTCAAAAGACACGTTGTAAAATACCCACTGCTTTGTCAACAGATAACATTGAGCTAGATGCTAGTATACTGCCATTAAAATCTAACCAAAAGTACAACTAAACACTAATCTGCAGATATACTGGCATATGAGTTGATACGGGTACCAAATGAAAATCTAAACCATAAAAACTGCTTGTCGAGATTTCCATTCCCATTGCTTGCCTTCAAATACCTATTGTTGATAGCAGCCAAAATTTAACCTTCCAATTAAATTTTCTAGAAACATCATGCCTGAAAGGAATTGATATATAATCATGACTGTAATCATCAGTTTACCTCAAAAAATACATATCTAAACCAGTTTTGAGTTCTCGTACCTGAAGCTAGCTGCAGTGTTCGAAAGCCCTAGAGTTTCCTACAATCTGAGCTATATGGAGATTTATATACAGATGCCTAAAAAGCAGGTCATGAGCTTGCATTTCCTTCTGAAAGATTAGATTCTTGCCTCAGGAGGAAAAAAAAAGGGGAACGAGGCATTCGGGTCAGCTCTACTAATTCTTTTACCAACGGGAGGAGAAGTGGTTATAATCAGGGTGATTGTTGATGGATAGATGATCGCCCTTTTGAACTTTAGCTGTTGCCATCACAGAAGCAGTATGCTCAAGTATTCTCAGTCTCTCTTCCATAAGTTTCAAAGGAGATAAACTCGAGGATTCTTCTTTCAAGTCCCTTGGTTGAAACCAGCACTCCTTCTGCAAGTTGATCACAAATAAAATTAACAAAGTTTGTAGATCATGGTACATAAATGAGAAGCATGCTTACTTGCATTTCCAGAAAACAAAAGTGAATCACCATGATATAACATTGACAAAGAAATCAGATGCAAGAAACATGAGAGGAAACAAAGAGTTCTTTTCTGGTAAACGGAATTTTTTGGAGTTCACAAAGTCTAGCAATCTTATGAGACAAACATAAAGCCAGTAATGGAGCAGATTTTAAATAGAAGACGTTATCTGAATCACATATAAAATAGTCAAAGGCATCAGATGCAGAGATAACTTGATGAAACGAAGAGTACGCTCTCTTTTGGTAGATGAAACTTTTCTAGATCATCAAGGCTTACAATCTTGCAATACAAGCATAAAGCCAAGAATGGAGCATATAAACTTCTTCTTCTTCTTCTTTTTCCTTTTCCCCCTGAAAATAGAAGACACTTCCCAAATGGTACTGAATCATGAACCTGCTTTTTCTTTCTAAGACAAGTTGATGATCCTTTTCATCAAGTTATGATGACAAAACAAATCCTATGCAATATAAACTACACAGCTTTTGAGAAATTTGATAATTACATCCATCTATGGTGTTTTTAGGAAGCATAAGTGACTGGCTGTCTGACACAATTAGTTTTCAACATAAATTAGCGTAACACTGTTCTTAATTAATCAATGGAATGTAGCCTTCCCAGCTAAACTGTACATGGTGCAAACTAATCTGAGGGGACCAAATCCGATCAAACTGAATGCAGCCCATGGCTATTATAAGCAAAACTGAATCAAGCCTGTTCACCCAACCAGATCAAATGTTGGCATGACTTATCCACAAGTTACAAATATAAATAGCAAAGAAGCCACAACAACTTTGGTTGAATCAATTTTTGCCCACCGCTCAAGCATATCAAATCAAGGGTTAATTGTCAACAGACCCTTGTAGCATGGCCTAATTGCAAATAGACCCTATATAGTTCTATTTATGCGAATCGATCCCCTGACTGAATTTTCTTGACTCTTAAAGTAGTCAGAAAGGTTTTGAGGAGGCAGATAGACCCCTTGTCTTTTCTATTGGTGAGGATAGATCCCCAATTGCTAATTTCTTTGACTCGTAAAAGAGTCGAAAAAGAAAGTTCACTAAGGAGGTGTATCCGCACTTGGACCAATAATATGGAGGGTCTATTCGCACAAATAGAACTACAGGGTGTCTATTCACAATTCGGCCCTACTACACGAGGTCTATTCGCAATTAACCCCAAATCAAAATCAGTGGTGCTTTTGTAATACCAAATTAAGAAACCCTTTTATGGACAAAAATGCACTGAAATACCAAGTTTCAGGCCTATTGCATAAGTACATGAGGTAAACATGATTCTAAAACACCAGAATTCAGGAGTTGGTGGTGCAGCACAAATCAACAATTGTTGATCAGCAACAGTGACTAGTATATTGAATGAAAAAAACTTCGAGATCATGACTACACTACAATATGATACCTAAGCAAACACTAGGACATAAATCAATTTGACATTCATGATCAAATATACCTTTATTGCCTTGGTAGAATTATAACAGGTTTCTAGATCCTCGATATCTTATTTTATTTCTGAAATCATAGACATTGTTTAAACAAAAAGGAATTGTGGAGTAGGTGTTTTGAGCTTTTGGAAGAAGGGTTTCAGTCAGAATAGAGGATTAAAGGATAAGTATCATGAATTTTTCAAATAGAGAACTGAAGTTAGTTATTAACCCAAGCCAAAAGCTGAGTCAGTTACACCTTTCTCCTGTGAATAGCGGGGAGATAACATGTGAATAATGGGAGATAAGGAAAAACATTTAATTAGGTAAAGGAAAGAACCCAGAATTATATATTAAAAATAGGTAAGGAATTTAATGAGGAAGAAAGAGGAGATGCGTATGTGATGCCATTACAAGTTAATCGCATGGCATCTAAACTTAGGTATGTTTAAGTGAGAAAGCCAATTTTGAATGAAAGAAGAGATGCCCCTTCTTAAGGTTGACAGATTCTACCCTGAATTTCCATCAATTGTTCAGTGTTTGATGAGATAGGCTAGAGTTAGCATTACCTCCTCCACCCCTAAGTCCCTAACATACAACCCAAATAGGGTGCTAAATTTCAAAGAGAGACACAAGTGAAGTTGGTTACAACAAAACAAAGTCTCTAACCTCCCAGCCATTTTCTAGTTGAATGACTATTTAGCAAGAAAAAAATTAGATGTTTCTTCAAAGACTCTTAGGCTCATCTAGTCCACCCAGAAATGTTCATATCACATAACAATCATACTGTAACCATCTTTCTGAATCGATGAGTTACAATTTTAATATAGGATCAATCTCTCTTAAGTATTTAATGCCTATTTGATGAATTCTCTAATAAACATTCTTACTGCAAGTAATGATGCTGAGTGGTTTTCTTAATTGTGGATGCCCTCTATTGTGTCTGTTCCGCCTGAAACCATATTCTTATTTTCTACTTAAGAGTTGCTTTTCATTTGATTTGTAATTTATTTCTAAGCTCAGTCCTTAAGATCCATAACTTAGTTTCGTGCCAGTCACCCTAGGGTAAATTAGCACTGTCCCAGACTATTATACTAAATATATAAAAGGTGTTGAGTAATTAGGACAAGAAAACAGAGCCATAATTAATTCAGATGAGTTTAGAAACAATATCTGGTTTTAACTCAAACTACAATGTGAAAAGGCAAAAGCAAAAGCTAGTTCTTATTTATAGATGAATTCAACAGCTACAAGACTTAAAGAGGTTAGTTCGTCCTTAAGTTTTTTCCATTATTAGGGTATTTTCTCTTCTTTTTCCATTGATAAATACTCACCATGTGAGTACTAGAAGGTCCATTACTATGTCAATTTTTTTTAATTTTTTGCATTAATAGGTACAACGCCATGAAAAGTACTTGAGTATTCATTATTAAATCAATACCTTAGCATTGTAACTCTGGAGGCCCACAACTGGAGAGATTACATGAGTAAAATCACCAGCTGTAGTAGATAAAGGACTTTGATGAATAAAATGACCAAGGGAATGGTAAGTTAAAAATGCAGCACGAAAGTTGTCTTCAGGTATACGATATATAGGATACCAGGCCACAGCATACCTGAAATTTCAACTTCCAATTTTGAGAACATATGATTAAGAAATATTTATGCTAGTAAAAGAAACTATAATATCGATCTATTTTAAAAAAAGAATCTACTGAGTATGCAAAAAGCTGTTGCAATGAAATAAACAAACCATGAGGCCGGATGGAGATCATGTAGACTCAAATATTCCAGCTTCGATGGATCTCCATACATTTGGCTGTTAGATGATCCACCATCATTAACCAGCTCCTTTATCCTGAAATAGATCATAGAAGATTTAGTGGAAGAGCTGGCTGCCACTCAAAACATACAGGTTCAAAATGCATGACTTCGAGAAGGAACAAACCATTAACTAAATATACACAAACACAACAAGAAGCGGCCCTTCAGAAAGGAACTTTCATTTTTTAACCAAACCAATGGAAGGTAGAGTAGGGAGGATAATAAAGGACTTCAAGTTTTTCTTAATCTACCAATAGTCAGAGAAGTATGTTCTCTAGAATCTTATAAAAGCAAAATGCAAGAGACAATAAGATGCTAAAGATAGCCATTGTAGATGAAGAAAGAGGGTTAACTGTGTATTTAAATTCGCACAACACAATTTGCATATGTGGTTATCCTGTCTAATCTAATTCGAGGCAACTCCAAACCCAACCCAAATGATTATACATGCCCAGATTGTGCCCAGAGCTCCAAATGAATTTCAATCAGTTATCATAAAAGAGCATGCAGTTTAATGAACAATGATGCTAGCTTAAAAGACTAAATGTGCAATACTCTAATGCATATCACCAAAACCATGACAAACTAAGATTAAGATAATGTTCCACGTAAACAGCAAATCATGGTCAACATCGACCAATCACTAGGAACTTTAAGAGAACAGACTTTCAGGAACTGAGTACTAACTTCTCAAATAATGGTCTTCGCTGTGGAGGTTGAGCATGTTCAAAATACTCAAAAATGAGCTCCTCGTCAATCAGATTTGTACTTTCAGCTGATTGTTTACTAAATTCACTTATGGGAGATGATGCAGACTCTAAAAGGCATGAATCTACTTCTTTACGAGGCTGGGGAAGTAGCTTGCACAATATTGGAAGGGAGGAAACATTAGATGAAGATCTTGATGTCTTATCAACCTCAGAAGATACCATCAACTCTCTGCTGGAGCTGGTATAACTACAAGTTGATTGTCTGAATAGTTGAATGGCTGAAAGATAAGGTACAAAATATGCTCTAAATTCAGCAGCCTTAACTTCTAAACCATAACACCCAGGTTCTTCATACCACTGCCAAAGGCTTGCCAAATATATTTTATGCATCCGATGTGAGCACATTGAGTTACTAGTTTCTTGTTCCCCAGAGCAAGTTGTGCAGATTCTTCTATGATGCCTTCGACTAAGAATCGGAGAACAAGAGTACATGAATCTCTCAAATTCAGCAACAGGGCTGCCAGAGATCAGGTGAATACCAGCTGCAGTTCGTAATCTGTAAGCATCATTAACAGCATGAACTATCCTGCCTAAATCAGACTCAACTTCTGAAACTTGTTCATCTTTCTCATCACGCAGACCTCCATCTCTATGAGAGCAACCCATAAATTTGTCACTCAATATATCAGTTCCAGAAGAAGAACAATCGGCATCATCACCACTTCGGCTAGCACACTGCATCTCTGTTCCATTCAGAGGGACAAGGTATCGAACCTCAGAACTCACCTCTACCTCAGTGTTCCTACTCTCTATCACATTAGACATTGAGTCATCTGTTACTGAAATTATCAAATTCTCTAAATGTCCAATTTGGGATACAGCTACGTCTTTTCTTCCAACAGGGACCCATTTCTGTAATACAGGTCCACAATTATTGTCTGACTCACGATATTCTGCATGAGAGCATTCATCTTGTAGATTATTATATTGATTGTCATTTATATCCATAAGATAAGAGTCATCATGCATATTCCCATGACCCTTTAAACCAATCTGATCTGAAGAATCTGATGCCGATAAAGATGGGTCTATTTGTTTGCATTCAATTGACAAAGTCATATTCCCTTCCATACTGCAAGTATTTCCAGATAATGGCACTTCACTGATATCCTCCTTTTTCTGTTGTTGTATGGATGGGCAGAAGTCAAAATTTTCAATTGATTTAGACACAGATACTGGAGAATGAGTATTAAGAGGAGAGCTTCCACTGCTAGTGTGTTCATCATGGCTCACTGGCAACATCTTCAATTCTTCTTTCTGCTGAACATGAAGTTTAGAAGGCCTGGCAAATGTAGTTGTACTATTATGAGATCCCTTCCTTGAATAGTGATTTATCTGCTTAGGAACAGAAGTAAATTTCTTTTTGTCATTACTTTCACTTGATTTAGATGTTTCACCAACTCCTTCATATGAATAAGAATATTTGCTAGATTTCGCTTTCTGATGGAGACCTGAAGATGCATTTTGTCTTGACCTTGAACCAGAATCCTTAGAAGGCATGTCAACTTTTTTAGAGACAATAAAGGCATTCTTTGGTTCATTGATGAAATGTTGTTTATCCGTCTTTTGGACCTTCTGCCAAACAGGATGATTGTCTTTTCCTGCATGAGAAGTTGACTTTCTAGCTGCCCGAGCTCTCTTTCCATATAACACAGGATGGAAGTCATTACTGCTGCAGGCATGGTTGCTGCATGGAGCTCTTTCTGAACTGTTATAATAAGTGTCGTTGTTACAAGAATCATTTGAAACTCCATTAGTGACAACAGGTGAGTCTACAGTACTCCTATGGAGTGAAGAATCACATGTCTTGGAATCTAAATCGACCTCTTGTGATATATCGAGACTTGTTCTATTCTTGATTGGTAATCTTGTTGCCACATCGTGACATGAGCCTACCAATGCATTGTTATCATACAAATCACAGGAAATGCTTGTTGAACTATCAGTGTAATTGATGCTTTGTTTTGGGCTGGGACTTTTTGTATTCAGATAAACAGAAGGTGTTCTCCGAGAAGGCTGGTTTGCACCAGATATGTTTTTCAGCTCCCCAGGGCAGTTACTGTTGAGGGCTTCATGAGATCGGGAATCCACTGCGTTGGACTCCTCCATTTCATCATTGTATGATATACATGACATCTTAGTTGTTGAACCATCTACATACTTGCTACTTTCACTGACATCTTTCTCTTTAGTAATATCTCCAACTAGGGAGGTAGAAGGAATATTTGACTTTTCAGACGAGTTCTCTGAGGTTTTGACAATGTTTGAATCTCTTTTGCTTATGGACCTTTTGTAATGTTTTCCCTTCTTTTTACCTTTCTTTTTTGAACTTCTTATCAGAGGCTCTTCCACCTTAGAGATATCATTCATCAAGTCATCGGAACTAAGCGGGCTCAAACTATCACAGAAAGAACCAGAAGATGTATCCCCTGCCAAACATCTAGATGTAGAAATATTGGAGGAATCCTTGAGAGGCTTGGTCCTCTTGTGCCTGTTGCGAGATTGACCCATATTATTCAATCCAGAAGAGCTGCAGACTGAAGAAGACTCTGAGGAACATATATTTTCAGAAAGGTTGGTGCTATGTTCTTTCTGCAGGTTAAACAGGAAAATTATTGTTGGTGGAGACTCAGAAGGAGCTTCAGATGGAAAATGCTTTTTCTGATCTGGACTTTGAAGCGAATGCAAAATGGTTGCCAGCTTGCAGTATGCATCAAGTTCTGGGCCAACCAATGTGACAAAAATGCACCTGCTAAAACAGGAAAGAAAAAAAAGAATAAATTTAAATCCACCTGATTGGATTATGGGATCCAAAAAAATGACAGAAAAGAAAATGGAGAAGAAAATAGATGCAGCAAAAAGATCAACCCCAAAGACCAAAATACTCCCGGCAGTATATGCATGTCTGTTAAGAGAAAACTCGGGGATTTTTTATCATGTACAAATAATCTGATGAAGCTTAAAATAAAGAACATTTATCAGAATAAAAGGCTTATCATATTGTTCTTTTGAGGTGAGGATACTTCTGCACTGGAAAATGTTGAAAAGACCAGAAAATGAGTTCAAAATATCAGAAGACATCAGAAGCGAAAGAAAGAAAGAAAGAAAGAAAACCATGAAATGTATACGAGAGAATAAAGCAGAAAACAAGCTCAAAGTGATGAAAATGAAAATTTATGCTGCTGGACAGTATCCCTCAGTCAAACAAAAGGTTAATACCTTTGCTCACTATTTCCCAGGACAAGTGCAGATATCGGACGTTCCTGAGAAAGTTTCATGCAAACATCATTAACAGTCTCTCATAAATAGTTTTCTTTAATCAGTATCTACAAACAAAATCTAAAAACTTGAAATAGAAATTGCTAAGATTCTCAAAGGATAACTCACCTCGGAAGAAAGCTTGCAATTGCTCTTATCTAGATATCTTCTACGAAGAGAATGGTTTCTTCTACCTTCAAAATTTTCAACATTGCTAGAGATTCTTCCATGACCACGTGGCATCTTTTGCTGCGCCTGACAATGCAAAAGGCAGAAAGTGATGTGTGAATGAGTAAAACCTCCTAGACAGGTCAAACAAATGAATAATTCTTGCCAACATTCAACATATAGATATTAAATTGTGTGTTTTTCTAGTGACTATCTAGAGGCAGCAACATCAACCTGTCAAAAATAAATAATAATTAGATTCTCTAAAAAAATCATTAAGCATAACCATCTAGAGTTTGGGGTTCATAGCATATGGCCCAGGAATCAGCATATCTACATAATAGAGAGGTGCGAGTCATGAAGGATGAGATATCTGATGGAAGAGAGACTAGGTGATGCTTGTGGTAATGTTAATCTATCCTATTTGTATTTCTATCCCTCTATTTTTGTTAATAATGGGGGCTACTTTCGCTTCTAGATTTAGGATAGGGCAGGTATTAGACAAATGATTTTTGTTTCTTTGTCTAGCAGGGTTCTACTTGCTTCGTTATCATCTTATGATTGAAAGGTGTGGGGACCACCCAGCATCTTTTTAGTTTGAAAAGACCATATTAAATGAACTATTTGTAACTTCGGTCTAAACCAAATGCCACCACCCCATTCCCATCCCCTCCAAAAGGAAAACAGGCTCGGATCCATTTTGTACATTCTTGTGTCATGCACTTAATCTAAATCCAGGGCTAAAAGAATTGAACGAATGAAATCATTTTTTTTCATGAGCCAAGATGCTTCCCCTTTTCTAAGCAGCACAATTACGATAAAGTTCTGTCATTTCATGTTTTATTACCAAGTTCTCTTCAATAGACCTAGAACATTTACCTTGTTTGGTTGTTCCTGTATCCCTGCTCCAATCAAGCCGTGCCTCGTTTTGGTCAAAAATTGGTTCTTTCATTAACGGACTCATCACAACTTTAATCGTTACAATGACCTCAACAAATGAAAATAAAAATTACAGACGTTTATCACCCGCTGTTTGCGTGGGATCTTTGCCTGTACCGGGGTTAATCCGTGGACCACCGAGCAATTAGATCAAAGTATAGATTTTGTTGACTCGCAAAGGGGTCAAGAAATTGAAGCGAATATCTCAGCAAAGCGAGATACCCACTCTTCTCGAGAATCTCAGCTAGATACGATCTCAAGGAAAAGGGATGAACCGGACTGCAGATCTATCGAACTCTCCTTCTTTATACCAAAGAACTCGCCAAGATCTCTTCCTCCTCTCTGAAATTCGTGGTTTCTCACTCTCCAATCCAGTAGGGCTTCGCCAAGGCTCGAGAATTCCGGATCCCTCTAAATGAAGGCCCTAAGACCATACTTATAGGCTTTAGAAGCTTTGTTTTCGGATAAGAACAGGTGATTCTCTCTTATCTTCAGTTAAAATCACGTTCAAGTCAGTTGAAGAGGCTTTGGATCAGAATATACCGAAATCTAGACGGTTAACGGCGAAAAACGGGCGTGAAAAAGTAATTTCGGGGCCGGGACAATCCTGGCCAGGTCGAGACGGTCTCGACCAGGCCGAGACTGTTTCGGCCTTGGCCGAAACAGGGGCGAAACAGTCTCGGCCTTGGTCAAGACGTCGTTTCCCCCCTTTTGACGGTTTTTGTCGTAACTTTCCGATCCGGTTTCGGAACGACGTGATTCGAAGTGTGTCAGAAAGCCGGGGAAAAGATCTACAATCTCCCATAGGTGAATCATACGTGGAGCGGACAAGACACGAATGGCATCTCGTCTTTCGTGAGTTAACGTAATTCACGATTGGATCGTTTCTTTGCTATTCTGTCGTCCCGTTGATTCGTACGCTTCGTCGACTCGTTTCATTCGCTTGTCGACGTCAGATAATCCTCTTCGACTAGGATAATGTCATTTATCGTCTTCTCTTCGTCTCGAATTGTGTGTGAAAACCCGTAGGTAATTTTTGATGCCTACAGATACTCCATCTAAAGTGTTTCAGTCTCGTTTCTTTTATAGAAGAGCCTGGAATACTTTGAATGTGATAGGTCCAACCTTCAGTCGGCGTAAAAGGACCTGTAATTCAGTTCTTGACTTCTGTAATTTTTAGTCTACTCAGTATTTTGTCGAATAGCTGAAATTCTTTCGGTGCTGCATTTATTGTCTGGCTGTTGTCAAAGTCTTGAATTGAAACTATTGTGTTTAACTCATATCGTTGAGTCGACGTTGAACTGATTATCTTCGTCGAGAATTCACACCCGGGTTACGGTTGAAATCCTCAAAATTATCCTTTTGACTTAGGATTAATTCAAGCCTTGTTTTGACGCAAACTGTTGAAGCATTGACCTTCATCGTAACGCATTCACCGGCGTTGACCCACGGCTACGCGTTGATCGGCATTGACATTCATTATAACACGTTGACCGGCGTTGACTTTCATTGTAACGTATTGACCGGCGTCGACTCGCAGGTACGCATTGACTTTCATCGCAACGCGTTGACCGACGTTAACTCACTGCTACGTGTTGACCAACATAAACACAGTTTATACTCGTACGTTGACTGGAATCTACACAGTTTAGGCTCTTAAGGCGTTGGAGCGGGGAGGACCAGTTTATACTCATATACGCCTGGGAGTTTCGGAAATCAGTTTAACCTCGTGTACCCGTCGGAGGTTCAAGGAGATGCAGTTTATACTCATATACTCATCGGAGTGTCGGGAAGAGCGAGCTGAGAATGCTTCGGATGCTCGCTAGGTTGAGCTCTTTGTGCGAGATTTGATCGTAGGACCAGTCGTTGGTACTGATACAACTACTATCTCTGAAGTTGCTGAACATCTGAAGTTATTATCCTCAAAGCTTTGGCTGGAGTTGAGGTTAGCTCGGCTGTTCAAGTCATGAGACCAACTGCTGAAGCTGATGCGTTAGTGACTTTTATCCCTTATTATGATTATCCATTCTGTTTTGAATAGATAAGCATAATACTCATAAGATTTTTGGTAAACCCTCAGCCATCAACGGGTTTGAAGTGTCTTTACCGACTACCGTTTGAATCGGGTTAGTATGCAAATTGTTTAAATCCGTTCCGCATGTAACGTTGTACTAAGAGAATAAACTCTCTTAGACTTGATGCTATGATATTGAGTACATAGGCTTAATCATCCCTCACGGGATGCTCATAGGATTTTTGACAAACCCTCAGCCATCAACGGATTTGACTTGCCTTTACCAATTACCGTTTGAATCGGGTTAGCATGTGAATTATTTAAACTCGTCTCACATGTAACGTTATGCTAAGAGAATGAACTCTCTTAGACTTGGTGCTATGATATTGAATACATAGACTTGATCGTTTTCGTAAGAACGAACCACCCGGCAACGCGTGTTAGGCGTAGACTTATTTCTATTCAAGAATCGAGATAAAATTCCCCATGCGTGAAATGCATGAATTTTAGTGCTGAAGAGTTGTGTTGTGTCTTTTCTTAGGACAAAGACGAACCCTGTGCTGGAGAGGAAGAATTTTATATTCTATCTCTAGGTGCAGAAAAAACTCAAGTAGGATCTCCACTTTGAGAATCTGAAGGATGAATCTAAGAGTGAGATCTCCACTCCGAGAATCGAAAAGATTTAGATAGTCCTAACTGTTCAAATGTTTAGTTATCTAATCTGATAATGAATTTTTCGTTTATCGAGATGAAATTCCAACTTTAGCCCTAATTGTTTAAAGATTTGGCCAAAGAAGATATTGAGACGATCCTAACTGTTTAAAGTTTTGATTACTCGATGTGGGTGAAAGCCTCTCATTTATCAAAAGGGAATTCCGATTTTGGTCTTAACTGTATAAAGGTTTGACTAAGATGAATTTTCAGACGACCCTAACTGTTTAAAGGTTAGATCATTCAATTTGTGGATCTCTCGTTCATAGAAAAAATCGAGAGAGGATTTTAGCTTTAGTCCTAACTGTTTAAAGATTTGACCGAAGGGAGTTTGAGACGATCCTAACTATTTAAATGTTTGATCATTCAATTTATGGACCTCTCGTTCATGTAAAGAATCCAGAGGGGATTTTAACTTTGACCCTAACTGTTTAAAGGTTTAACCGAAGGGAGTTTGAGATGATCCTAACTGTTTAAAGGTTTGATCGTTTAATTTGTGGACCTCTCGTTCATGGAAGGAATCGAGAGGGGGTTTTAGCTTTGGCTCTAACTGTTTAAATATTTGACCAAAAAGGGGTGAGGTGGTACAAATAAGAAGTGTCGATTTGCACAAATCACTGTGTTAATACAGTGGGAGTTTTTAATGTCAAGTTGCAAGGACTTTAACACAAAGGGGTTTGAAACTTCTAATACTGTGTCTGGACTCTAACAATGGAAGTGTTGAGTGTACAGACACAGCGGGAGTTTGAGTGGATCAAATCAGAAATAATTTTTAATGGACCCACCGTCAATTGATTTGATCAGTGATGGATTAAGCACTACAGAATTAGACCGTAGGGGTTTCGTGAGGGAAGATTGACCGGATAAAGTCATTGAACCTCATCTCGACGAAAGAGGAGGATTTTAATCATCTTGAAAATGATTAAATAGTCAGAGTGGGAGGTTCTTAATCATTCTTTATCATGATTAAGAATTTATTGGTTTTGAGTTATCCTTAAGAATACCATGTGTATTATTCTCCAGAAACTTCCCATCAAATGTAAGGAACAGTTTAGCCTTGTGTACCAGTTGAAAGTTTGAGAAACAGTTTAGCATCGTATACCAGTTGGAAGCTTGGGAAATAATTTATACTCGTATACCTTGTTGGAGTAGATGGAGAAGCAATTTATACTCATATACTCTTTGGAGTCTACACCGCTCTCATTTGGCTTGTTTTGCCGTTATAAAACCGGAGTCAATTAAGGCTTGGATTTTATTTTTGAGGTCAAAACAAATCTTGGTGGGATGAAGAACCTTCCTATGATACGTACAGTTGTTTGGATCCGTAATCCTCTTAGCTCCTTCCTGATCTTTAATAGGCGGTAGTTTGATCTTGTCGTTGGCGAGGAGGTATTTCAAGATGGCTGGAACTTCCTCATCCTGG